TATGTATCTATGACTCTTGTGCTCCAACTTTTATTTTTAAATCCATCTACAGCCTCAGTTCTTTTTTTGAACAGAATTGTTAGCATCTTTGAAAATTGAGGGCATTAGGCTTTTCACTTTAAACACTCAGATTTGAAAATTTTGGCTTTTTTCCCCTCATATACACAGCTACTAAAAGGATGCATTTTAATTTGTGCCTTTTTAATTCTATTTATGTTAAGTTATAAGCTATGACTCTTTATTTTGAACATTAGTGTTCCGGATGTTTTCATGAATGGGGGAACAGAAGGGAGAAGACTATTTTACACAGTACCAAAATTCTCAGTCTTTTCTAAAAGATAAAAATCCATATAACCAAGGTTTTTGTGTTTGTGTTAACCCAGCAATGCTATGCAAGCATAGACCTTTTGTTGACCTTAATAAATGAAGCAGAATCAACCTTAATAATATTCTTCCCAGCACACAGTTAAAACAGTTTGATACATGGAAGAGATTTTAGAAGAAGCAGGGAGGAAAAAAAAAATCAAAGTTTTAGTGGCATGCATAAAGAAAACTTTTAAGTTCTAAAGTGTTTTAAACAAACACTGTGTTTTAAGATTGAAAATGGGAAAGTTAAAAAAAAAAAGAAAGTTAAATCTACTACTACTATTATACAAGTAATTTAGGTCAGTGGTAGCTTTTCGCAGATATGTCTCTGATTTTCCCTACAACAGTATTTTTTATTCTTAGGAATGACAATAGCATTACACTTTGCAAGATGCTGTAGCTGTTTAAATTACTTTACAGTGATCATAGCAATTTGACTGGCTCCTGACTTGCTTGCTTTCCTTGTTGCGGTAGCTTGCTGTAACATATGCCAGCCTGCATGCTTCACTTCTGCACTAAATTCTGCATCTACCAAACATTATGGCTGTGCAAAGCTTCAGTCGTTGATTCGATTCAGCAGAGATTCAGCCCAATTAGGAGACCAAATCTCCAAATCCAAATCAAATCAGGAGACTCTTTAAACTCTCCGAATTGAATCAGAACCTTCCAAATCGATTAGGAGAGATTTGGAAAGATTTAACAATTTGGACATACACACAGCTTTAAATAATTTTTTTTACATACCTCAAGGTACCAGGCAGCTCATGAATACTGAGATGCTGGGGCGGATGCAGCATCGCACAGGGGTGCAGGGATGGGGGGGTGTGAGTGGGGGGGAGGGCAGCGTGCTCAGCAGCAGACCCAGAAGTGGACCAGAAGCACTTCTGGTCCGCTTCCGGGTCTGCCAGGAAGCGCCGTGGGGGGCCCCCTGCATCCCCCCGGCTTGGCAACTGGTGCCTCCTGGGTCTGGGGAGGCACCTAGGGCCCCCCCATGGCCAGTCATAAGCCAAGGGGACGCAGGGAGGCCCCCTGTGCACTTGGCAGCAGACCTGGAAGTGGACCGGAAGTACTTGTGGTCCACTTCCAGGTTTGCTGCTGAGCACACAGGGGACACCCCGCGCTCCTGTGGGATGCTCCATCCACCCCACCATTGCAGCGTTCATGAGCTGCACCTAGTACCTTAAGGTATGTAGAAAAAACCAAAGCTGTATCTATGGCCAAATCGCTGATTCTCCAAATCAATATAGAATCTTCAGATTTGGCCAAATTGAATTGAGGACAGTGGTCCAAATCAACAAATCTAATCACAGTCCCCAATTTGGGTTGAATCCGAATCCAAATTGAATATAGCCCGTTTCGCACACCCCTATCAAACATGCACTGTACCATCATTTACAGCTGGGCCAATAATATTCAGCCAGGAGTTTGGGGAGGATCTATAATCATCTTTACCAGGGCAGAAGAAATCTCAGAAATCTATAATTAGAGGAATTTCTAGGGAGAGCTTTCTTCTGTGTTTTCTATTCACTTTGTTTTTGTATATTTATGTTTCTACTATCCTTGCATGACACAAGAAGATCCGAGCTAAAAATAAGTGTTAAGTGAACTGTTTTACTGTCGCTGTGCCATATTTTATGCAACACCCACAAACCTCTGCAATACCCCAGAGCATTTCATGAACCACACTGCAGGAATCCAGCTCCTGTTAATTGACTGCAGAATTAAACAGCCTTGTGGCATTCTTGCCTCTTGCCTGTCACTTGAGAGAAAACACCTTACTGTGCACTGTTTCAAGACTCTACCTATCCTGAGGGCAAGAGGTGAGAGGAGAAATAAGGAAATAGTAAGTCATCCCTGCAATATAAAGCAGTTTGACAGGGTGGCGAAGAGCTTGATTTTCTCCTGAAATAACTTTATTTGAGCTCTGAAAGCAATTATTCATCTTCTTTGCCAGAGTAATATACTGGGTTGGAGCCCTTCTCTCTTGCACCAAGCGCAAAAGGTGGGGTCAAAAGGGCAAGGACAAACTTGCTACTGTGCTTGATTTGATAGAGTCTTACCTCAATTTGCAAATGGTCCCCGGCGTGTTTGCTCTAAGTCTACTGCTTGTGGCCAGAACTATTGCCATAAGTAGCTTGTAGGGAAAAAAAAAAGTGTAACAACCTGCATGCTGGGATCTGGAAGTAATGCTCCATTTCTAGACAGCAGAATGCCAGCCTAGATCATGAAATCGGCTTAACAAAATGATGGCCAGTTTCAAATACCCCTACTGGGGTGAAGGTAAGGGGGAAGATAGGGACTGAACAATATTAACCATATCCAGCTAGAATGTGATTGTTTGAGGGTGGCTTACTATATCTGAAGTGTTTTGATGCGCGACCTTTGTTTTCAGACTTAGACCTCAGCACAATGATTCCCGCCTTTGTGACCTCCAGGCAAAGCTGGATTACTTTTTTGATGGCTTCCCTTGAAAACTACTTACAGATTGTAGCTACTGAAGTCTGTGACAGCACAAGTGCCCAAGAGCTTTTGCATTAAAAAAAAAAAAAAAAAAAAAAAAAAAAAACACAG